TCTCTCTCTCTCTCTCTCTCTCTCTCTCTCTCTCTCTCTCTCTCTTTTTTCTCTCCCTATTTTCCTCTTCCGGATGAATGCCGTCAGCGACGGCTTTTCGTGCTCGCTCAAAATATTTATTTATTATTGTGCTAATTTCGTTTTCAGCATTGTTGTTCATATTTGTTATTCTTATTATTTGACGTTGTTTACTATTTCTCATTTATCATTTTGTTTTGATCTCAAAGACCGAGATCCAATTCTTGTATTAATTGCGTGCTCCATTTATCAAGAGAGAGAGAGAGAGAGAGAGAGAGAGAGAGAGAAAGTAAAAATTGAAAAAAACATGTAGATTGTCTTATTGCAAAATATCAAAAGTAAAAGAGTAAAACTTGCAAAGTTATAATGTAGAATCGAAATTTCGGCTGGAGATATTTCAATACGCATTATAATTGTTGCAGCGTCAATTTAATATACTGAGAGAAAAATGGTATTTGTAACTATAATCGTACAGAGAAATAATTACTATAAATTATGGTCAAGACAACCATTTTTTAGTCAATTGTACTATAATTTTAGTAATAATAATCTTATTTGTATGTTACTATTACTACTACTACTATCTTCGTGCTGGAACAAAAAAAAAATATGATTAGAGTCAAATTGGGCCTAAACCATATTTAGTTGTTACATAATTTATAGCAATTACTTTATAGCTATATAATTTATAGTAATTACTTCTCTATATAATTATAGTTATAAATACCAAACATTTTTCTCTCAGTATGTAATGTTATATTTAATATAGCATTTTCTGGAATTTATTGGAACAATAAATTCCAGAAACAATCCTAACAAAATGCCGATATCATAATAGTGCCTGAGTTCAAAGTGATCAAAAACTGGCGCACGATATCACGTGGATTTCATGCCGATTGAAAACCGCGAACTAAGCAATCTCTCAAACAGTTCGTTAATCTTAGCATTCTCCTATCAAGATTTTCGAATCTGATAAGAGCCGCGGAATAAATACATATAAATTGCAATTGAAACATATCAGTCAGAGATACAAAATAATTTAAATGTTTGTGATCTTCAGTCAATAAATGTTCATAATCATAAATCAATAAATATTCATAATCTTCAATCAATAAATATTCATAACTCTAAATCAATAATCTCAGATCAATGCGATTTACATTAATACGCACACAGAAAAATAATAATATAAAATATCATTTTACTGCTAAAAAAAAGCGAAAGAATATTTTTTTGATAATAGTCCTCAGATATGCGTTCATGACGAATTAAAAAAAAATCTAAATTAAAAAAACCTAAAAAATTACATAATGTACTTAGGTAAAAGGTGTATTTTTCTTCATAAAAATATTATAAAACTTTATTGAAGAAAAAGTTAATTTTATTCTATATAATAAGAATTTTTTCTGATTTAATATTCTTTATTGAAATGAACTGGCCGGAACAGTTAGCTAAATTTACTATTCAGATTTCGAATTGTACTTTAAATAAAATCTGATACTTATGACGAACTTGTAATTAAATTACTTATAATATGGATATAAAGACTTATAAAATATTTGAAATAAATAACATTTAACATCCTTCAATGCAGTATGTATTTTTCTGTGTGCGTGTACTACGTGATATTACACTCTGCGAGTGTGAAGTTTAACACTCACCACTTCGTTGAGGTCCAAGCAGACGCGCTGACGAAACTCGTCACCATGTCCCAATCCGCGTCGCACCGGAAGTCCAGCCGTTGTCCCTCGTTGTCCCGCGTTGATTGCATTTCACGCGACTACACTCGGCTGCACTCGCGACGCGACTAATGTCCTTTCAAATGGTGTTTAACGAATCAAGCACGCGCCAGTTGCGAGCGTTTTGCGATTCATCTCGGAACGGAATCGACGATTTTGATCGATGGAAAACGAAATCGAAAGCTAAACATATAGAACGCGTGTCTCTGACAAATATCTGTCGTTTTGCGATTCATCTTGGAACGTAATCGATGATTTCGATCGATGGAAAACGAAATCGAAAGCTAAACATGTCGAACGCGTCTCTACAACGAATATCTGTCGTTTAATGGATCAATCGCAGCATCAGCGTTGCGAGCGTTTCGCGATTTTTCTCGGAATAGAATTAAAAACCAAACATGTCGGATAAGCGTCTTAATGAGTGCCATGAACGAACGTTTATCGCGGCACGACAAACTCTGCGGCATTTCAGGAGCGCGATTCGCGAGACGCGAAAAAGAAAGAATATAACGTAAAAAATCGCGAACCAAGCACATCAATCGCGCCCGTCGCGAAATTAATCCAAGCCAAGCGACGTAATCCTGAGTGGCGTGATATTCTCACGCACGATGGCTTCGCAACAGCTTTTGCGAAGATCACTTCGCAATATCTTTGCGAAGTTTGCTTTCGCAGTAATACCGCGAACTTAATTGAGCGGAAAAGCGTTGCGTAAATTTTACAGCTAACAATCGCAACGATTCTTCTACGAACGATGAAATTAAAAATGAAATCTATTATGTTAGATTCCTCCATGATACTGTGTCGAAACTTACTTGCGCGAAATTGTAAAAACGTTGGTTTTTATCACCAAAGACGTAAAGATACATATATAGAAATCTAAACAATATCAACAAATATGCGACTTGCAAATTCTCTCGCGAGTAACGAAAGTACGAGTGAAATCGTCGCGTCAAATTCTTTCGCGATGCTCTATCAAAACTTACTTCCGCGTATTGAAATGAATATAGAAACGTTTGTGATGATTTAGTAAAGTTCATCCCGACGTGAAAACACATACGATAAATCTAAGAAATCTCTAATCGCGACAATTGCGTGAAATATATCAATTCGACTAAAATAATCGCGCGCGATTACATTTGTTATCATAGTTATGCAAGAATGATCCAATCCGCAAAATTATGATTTTTAAGTTTTTGTTGGAAATTTTGTTAAGTAGTTCATACGTTCTTCTACATAAAAAAGATCTAAGCCTTATGGACGTCTAAAATTAATGAAAATTTTTATTTCCTGCTAAAACTCAATTATATTGATGTATTTAATGAAGTGAAAGTAAAAAAAGGTGTACCTTTGAAAAACAAAATTAGTAGAAAAAATTAGAAGAAAAACACTGTTAAATTACAATGCATAAGTCGCGAAATTTAGTCATTTTCTTATTCTCTGCTACATTAACAATTCCAGTACAAGAATGCGAAGGTGTGTTTTTGTTTTGAAGGTTGCGCGCTGCCTTAGAAGGTCCAACAATCTTCGAAACAATACGCACGCAATTATATGAGAACAAACGATTATACGTGTTAGACGTAAACGTGAAAGCAACTAGTTGCGTCAGTTTCCACTGATTGTATCTTTTTATCCATTTTTCAAAGGTTGAGATTGATAATGAATAGCTTAATGAATAAAGAAGAAAACATTGACTTGGATTCAGTGTTATCTGTACTTTTTAAATCGTGTATCAAATTTTCATTTTTCCCGAGACGTACTTTATGTAAGTTGAATCATTTTTGCATAACTACGGTCTAATTCTCTTCATAACACTGCTCAAAACAATTAAGAGATCGCACTGAATAAAATGCCGTCAAATAATGTCATAGCTTGAACATAATACAAGAAGTAGTATAGAGATTGCATTTATAAACATATTCTCGCTAAAAATTAAAATTAGATATTAAGTTTGAGTATTTGACGTTTAGCATATCCACTATAGGTGATATAAATATTTGAAGAAGCGATCTCGCAATTATTTCGAGCAGTTTTGTTTTCACTCAACGGCACGTACACATACATGCAAGAATCTACTAGTAAATCGCATTGATATGGATAAAATTTCGACGAAAAATTGATACGAATAAAATTTAGCAAGAACCCGTCAAAGCCACCACCTTGAATGTTTATCATTTTCCCATATTTCACTCACCGAACAGCCAGGGCCGGCCACGTTGAGCTGCAAAATCTGAAGCAAAAAGAGAAAAGAAAACAACGTGATTAGTTAAATTCAGCAATTCGGTCTAATGAACAAATGCGTATAGAAATGCGAATGGGCCCTTTGCGGTCATAATTCAAGACATTCTGACGGCTATATACCGGCTCTCGACAGCAAAGGGTTAAGAAGAGAAATATAGAGTCCATGAATTTACCTTCAAGCCGACCCTGCTTTGCCCGAACCGGATCCTCCGGTACGGCATTCGCATCCACCGGAACAGCTTCCACCCTCGCAATGTGGTCGTAAGCTCCGTCGGGTCTGAAACAAAAGATAATTTTCCTAATCAGCTGTAAAGCCATAAAGAAGATGCTCACAGTTCTCAACAAATTGTGAGAAACAATCCAAATATACAACACAAAAATATTAAAATGCGATTTTCGACTGTATATTTCTGATTTAAATATACACTGTGTGTGTGTGAGAGAAGAAATATTAAAAAAAAATATATATTTTGCGAGACAAAAAACCACTAATAAATTTTTATGTTAAAAAAATTTTTCTTTTAATCCTTAAAGTAGTACGGCCGAGAAAGCTTCGTAGTAAAATATTAAATTTTATATTTATTTCAATTATTAAATTTTTTTTAACGTGTAGCAAATATACATTAAAGAATTTTTATTCTGTTCCTTAAAATTCTTAGAAAAGAAATAGTAATAAAAAAAAAGAAATCTAGACACGTTTATTTAAAAAAAAATCCACCCATTTTAAATCACCATTGAAGAAATTAAGTGAGGAAATGTATATTTATCTCAGAAACGTAGCTTTTTGTAAAAGCAATCGTTTATCTTATATAATCTTATAAATAATTTGGTTTTAAATAATAATGTTATTAGTGCTCGCCGTGTAGAAATATTTTTTGTTTTCACATATTTCTCCTCAATATAATAAAAGCAAAATATGATAGTCACCCATAGCTTTAAGGATACTGCCACTACTGCTCACGACGATCACGATACGATGATCACACACACGCGTACACGGAATATTTAATATAAAATTATTAAAACATGACCGTATATTTTTCGTTGAAATCTAACAAGAGCGAAATGTAACGATCAGCTTCAGGTTTAAAGACACTTTTACCGCTCACGATGATCACAGCGCGACGATCACACACGCGGAATAACATAATTCGTCTCGTAGAAACTCAGATCAATTTAGGAAAATCGGAAAATAGCGCACGCGACGCCTCCCGTCGCTTTCGCGCTCACGCCTGATACTGATATGATCGCTTGTTCCGCGTGCGTATTGTCCTGAGTTACTCGCTGACTCCCAAAGCAACCTTCAAAACAAAAACACACGTACGCTCGAGATAACGGATAGTTACCTAGCAAAAAATTATCGTGCCTTCGCATTGTCGTACTGGAATTGTCATTGTAGTAGAGAAAGAGAAAGTGGCGAAATTTTGCGACTATTATACACCGTAATTTAACAGCGTGTTTTTCTTCTAACATTTTCGCTATTGATTTTATTTTTTAGAGATACAATTTCTTCCACTTTCACTTCATTAAATACATCAATATAATATAGTTTTAGCAAAAAAAATAGAAGTTTTAGTAAACTGTTAAAAATAAAAATAGAAGTTTTAAATAAAATTTTGCTATTTTCTTTTTTTCTGATAATTTGTATTTTAGAGCTGATTTGTTCAAAGTGCCAAAAAAGCTGTTTATTCAATTGAATAAGGTAATTTTTAAGATACGATATATTATTAAAATAAGATATTATTAATGGTGGGGTAAACACACATATATCCTAAACATGAAACTATGTTCCATTGGTAGTAAAAGATTTAATTGTCTTCATCAAACGACGAGTACGCGGGAATTATTTCACGGAATCGTAAAGCATCAGCCTTTTACGCTTCGTCCAGGATTCGACCATTCGTAAGTTAAAAATTCACAAAGCCGAAAACGCGGATCATAAAATATTCAACAAATTGGCAATTAAAACAATCATGCAAATTTTTCGAAAGCTCACGTTTCCTCAGCTGCTTTAACATCTGTGCTTTCGTTAATGAAAATGGAACAAAGACATGATACTTCAGTACGAACTGAGGACACAAGGAAATCTAATTCAATTCGTACTCGATAAATGAAACATAATTCACGTGCGAATAAAAATCTTTTTAAACACTCCAAATTCTCGGATTATCAAAGCTTCGGATTTTTCCCTCTCGTGTTTGCGCACGTCTATACGTTTTAAGCTCTTTGATTTCACCTTTTTGAGGTCGGAATCGTTTCAGCCCTGGACTTTCGGGAAACCCGAGATTCTCGCCTTCTCGCTCTTACTCCTCCCATCTTTCCCGCAGTTGTTATCTCCCGGAGGGTGAATAATTAAAAGCAAAATAAAAGAAAAAGGAGAAAAGAAATCAGTTAAAAATCTATTTCGAATTCTGAAAGCAATTTATCGGAGGATTAAGACGGACAGAATCCTTTAATTAAAACGGACGGATTTCAAAGGCCGAGCGCTCCATTTATTAGAATTCTTTCGCGGGAAACCGAAAAAGGCCATAAAAGCGGCAGGCGGTCGAAATCGAGCGGCGATTTTATTCTCGTTCTCGCGCGGAACAATGGCTTCATCGGCCGCGCCGCGTCACGCAGAGGCCATGGAATGATCGATCAATTGGAGAATGACCCATCATCCGGATTACCTCTCAGTCCATTTCCTTCGTCCTTTGCCACGTCGCGTATTCGCGGCGGGGTGGTCTTCGCCGTAACGTGCTTCAAGACGAGCTAAAGGGATCGTTCGAACGTGACAGCGGCTCGGGGAACTGAAATAATTACACTTGTTTCTGAAAACTGCCCGCCCCCCCAAATTTCGTGGAATCCTCGAGTTTCAAGAATCGATCGCTCAAAGCCCTTCTCGACGGACACGCGCGATTCATGGAACAAAGCATCGACAATCGTTAAACTTTTTACGATTTTACTTGTGGCATATAACTTTTTATGCTTTTGCTTGTGGCATATAACGTTTGTTCACAGAAACAATTGTGTTAGATACAGAATGTTTCCGTGAATAAACTTTACACAGGATGTCCCAGATTGATCTCCGCAACGTTCGTGGGAACGAATTGAAGTGAACATAAAAGTCCCATACCATTTTGCAATATTCGTTATAAATCTCGAGATATTAATTAAAAAAAATTAATAAATGATCACGTGCGATATGGTAAATGAGCTGTAGTGGCGCCGTCTGCCGTTGTATACTTATACATTAAATCAAACTGAACACAAAAGTTCTCTACCATTTGGCAAATGACGACATATATTTTTAAATATTAATTAAAGAAGATTTGTGCATTATCGAGCATAATAATGCAACAATTTTCTTTCATTAATAACTAAAAATCTACGTGGTTATTTGCAAAGCAATAAAGGGCTTTTTTGTTCAGTTTGATCTAATGCATAAGCACATGACAGTACACATCGCCATTGAAGCTTATCTACTATATCGCGCGTGATTATTCACCAATCTTGTTTAATTAATATCTCGAAATTTATTGCGAATATCACAATAAAACAATATGAGACGTTTATATTCGCTTCATTCTCTAACTGATTCTACGTTCTCATGAAGTTGCGGAGACGAATATGGGACACTCTGCATATCCCACAGATCAATTTCCAAGTATCCCTTCCACAGTGTGCGCGCCGATTATCGTACGCGTAATAACATATAATTGATACAGGCCGATTGTACACAATAGGATCATCAATGTAACGGTTTAAGAGCCCTTCCCAATGGACGCGCAGGATTTGTAGTATGAAGTGTGTGTGCGTGCGTGCGTATAGCTTTGAATTAATTATTAAATTGTCATAATCGATACGTAGGCTGGCGACATAATCGTTCTGCGTCAAATGGGAAAAGAGATTAGCCGCGCACAGTTTCCAGGTCGGAGAAATCGATCTTTGCGAAAAGGACGCGTACGACGATGATTTGACGCTACTTGATTCGCGGAAAATCATCGCTGCGTCGCGAACGCGGACTTTCTGCTGCAAAATTATTTATTATAATTTATTTATTATAATATTAAATTGCATGAATGCTTTCTATATCGTACACCAGGTAGATCGTCAAATTTACTGCTTGCACAGTGACTTATTATGCTACAGTTTTACAGGGTTAAACAAATGCGCAGTGATTTCGGCGGTAATTCTGTACGGTCCAAGATCTCAAAGAGATTCTGTTGCAATTCTGTACTCTACACTATTTTCTCCGTGTACATACTTTTTGAGCGCGGGATTTCGGGCGCGATTCGCCCCCGTGGGGTACCTCGTCGAGATTACGAGCTCGCAGTGCGATTGTTAATATCGAGCGCAGGGAAATTCATTTCCGCTCGGCGTCTAATTGGACGTAATGCAGTCGCCAAGTTAAATCTGATCGGCGCGCGCGCACTTTTAACCGTGTCCGCGCGCTCGCAATCAGCGCTTATTAAATTCAGCCGAGTTCGAATATCGTGACGAAGAATAAATAGGATTTCTCCTTGCTTTATTGCAGCCCGCTACGGAAATGAAGTGCGCTGACGTGACTCGGCACGCCGATCGATCTAATGTCTCGCTCGACCGTGCGGCCCGCATGTGCACGTGCATCACGACCCGCAGAAAGTTTTCAGGATGCCGCAACGAATATCTATTTACCGATTATTTATGGCGCCCGAACGCGCCATTCGATGGAAACGCGCGGTCGTGCGAACGAATTTCCGCGCGCGCGCGAGAAGAGAGAGAGGAAAACAAACGCGAAAGAAATATAGATAAAAGTACCCGCGATTTCTTCCTGACTTATCGTAATTCGTTTCCGATGTCATTCAAAATTGCGTTTCAACGTTGAATCCTTCAATCGATATTCTCACTGCCGATTCTTCTTATCCTTATTAGCTGTTTCAATTTCAATTTTTTAATTCAACACCACAAGTTGTACATATGCCCGGAAAAATTTCGTGGTCAAGCATTAAATTCCATTTTTTATTTACTTAAATTATTTTCTTCGTATTTCTTCTTTTTGCTCGCTCATAGCGAATGCAAGTGAAAATTAGATATATTTTACATTTTACTTTTCAAAATTCTTCTAAAAAGATAACAATAAGGAAAAGAAAATCCACACTGAGAGAAAAAGATATTTCGAAGATAGCAAATAGTTATTTAGTAGATTGTTGTAATAAGATATTTACTTAAATTCATTTATTTAAATAGAATAAATAATTGCTTTCATAAAAAGATAAAGTTTTAAGAAAATTCATATTTTCTTATTTGAAAAATATT